TAAAATCATTAATGATCAATTCCTCAAATTTCAAACAAAATGAAATCTGTTCTTGCTTTAAATAGTGAGAGGGGGAGGGGAAAAAAGTATCCCTCCCACTATAATTAAAGGATAATGAAGGTATAGATTTTTATTGAAGGTCTTTAATTTTGCTTAATTCTTTTTTGATTAAATACATTTTTTTGTGTAGCTGAGTAATTCAGAAAATGTTTCCTTCATACTTTGAGTCCTAAGAGAGAGAAAAGAGAGAGAAAAGAGAGAGAAAAGAGAGAGAAAAGAGAGAAAAAGAAAAAAAGAGAGGAAAAAAAAGAAAAGAGGAAAAAAGAAAGAGAAAAGAGGAAAAAAGAAAAGAGAAAAAAAGAAAAGAGAGAAAAAAAAAAAGAGAAAAAAAGAAAAAAAAAAAAAAGGAAAAAAAGAAAGAGAAAAAAAAAGAAAAAAAAAGAAAAGAGAGAAAAAAAAGAAAAAGAAAAAAAGAAAAGAGAAAAAAGAAAAGAGAAAAAAAAAAAGAAAAGAAAAAAGAAAAGAGAAAAAAAAAAAGAGAAAAAAAAAGAGAAAAAAAAAAAAAAAAAAAAAGAAAAAAAAAGAAAAAAAAAAAAGAAAAAGAAAAAGAAAAAAAAAAGAAAAAAAAAAGAAAAAAAAAAAAAAAAAAAAAAAAAAAAAAAAAAAAAAAAAAATGAAAAAAAGAAAAAAATGAAAAAGAAAAAAAAGAAAAAAATGAAAAAAAAATGAAAAAAAAGGAAGAAAAAAAAATGAAAAGAAAAGACAAAAAAACTATTTTCAACAAAGTTCAACCTTTGTGCCTGCAAAAAAGAAAATGGTCAGTTATTGCTTTGAAACCACCATTACTATATAGTTTTGACTCCCTTGACAATATTTATTTGCAAGATTATAAAAATATATGAACCAAGTACAATGTGATATTTATTATTTTTATAAAGAAATAAATTTGAAAAGTTTTTATGAAAAAATTTATAAAAGAATTACAAAATTATCAAAATATGTAAACCAACTAAAATGTAATAGTTATGGTAAAAATTACAGACATTCTGTAATTATACAGAAGGAAAACTTTATCCACTCAATGAATAGGGAGATACACACTCAGAATATTGAGTGTCTGTGGCTTCAGCTAAAATTTAAAATTAAAAGAATATTTTGTTCAGAGAAAGAGATGTTCTCAATTTATTTTAGTGAATTTATGTGTAGAGAGCAAATGAAATGTTTTTTATAAAAGATTTCTTTAAAAAAAAAAAATCTTTTTACTCAGAAATTTATAAAAGATTACAAAATTATTAAAATATATAAGAGGAAGAGATGGTCTCAATCTATTTAAGTGAATTTATGTAGTGAGAGCAAAGAAAAAATACTCCCCCCCACCAAAGGCATCTTTTTAAAATTTTTAGAATTAGTTACACATTATGTGTTAATTTAAATTTTCTTCTTCAGGCAGTTTTATAAATAAAAATTCATATTTATTTCTTTATAAAATGGTAAATAATAGTACATTAAAGTTGGTTGACATATTTTCATAATATTGTAAACATAAATAAATAAAATAAATATAAATTTATAAAAATAAAAAAAAAATAATATGGCAAAATTATCAAAATATGTAAACCAACTACAACACTACTATAGTTGCGATAAAAATTACAGGCATTCAATAATTATACAGATGGAAAACTTTATTCACGCAATGAATAGGGAGATACACACTCAGAATATTGAGTGTCTGTGGCCTCACCTAAAATTTAAATTTAAAAGAATGTTTGGTTTAGAGGCAGAGATGCTCTCAACCTATTTTAATGTGGAGAGAGCTCTGTCTGAACAAGAAAATTTTAAAATTAACACAATGATGTGTATCTAATTATAAAAGAATGCTGGGAAAATGTTTTTTATTTTTTTTTTTTTTCAAAAGTTATTATTTACTCATTCTTTTTTATAGATACAAATATTTAAGTAAATGCTCTGTTTATAATAAACAGTATTAACAACATTTACTGGCCTAAATGTCTGAGAAATCATCATAGAAAATATGCACCCTCCGACAGGAATTGAACCTGTAGCCTATATGGAACCGTCATATAGCCTTACATGCTTTTACTGATTTCGCCACAGAGAAGTGTTTGGTTAGCACTGTTTTTAAACTACAATCTTCCATGATTCTCTCATGTACATTCATATCTGCTAGACACGTATCCAAATGTAAACAAATGACGTCACACATTATGAAATGGACTAAGTTTGACAATTATTTTAAGACATTTTTATGTTTATACATTCTTTTTTATAGATACAAATATTTAAGTAAATGCTCTTGTTCAAACATTTTTATAAATTAATGAATAAAAAAAAAATTTCATTTCTTTGTAAAATAGTAAATATTTCATTATTGTTTGCTCACATATCTTGAAAATATAATATTCTTAAAAAAAAAAAAAAAAAAAAAAAAAAAAAGTGCTTAACATCTTTGTTGTCAATTCTTAAGAATTAAAAAAATGTATGAATCCACTTTCATGTCTGGGTTTTATTAAAATTCTAGTCATCACTTTTTAAACGAATAAACTTGACGAAGGGAATCAAAAGTTCATACAATAATAATTGTGTCAAGCAAATAATCATTCTTTTGACACTTTTTTTTTTTTTAAGGCACTAAGGTTAAACATTGCTAAGTTTCCTTTTTTTCTTGTTTTTAAATTATATTTTTGTCATTTTTAAGAGGTGGGTGGAACAACCATTATTTCAAGTCATAGTGCTCAAGTATTCAACTTAGAAAGAGAGCAGTAGAATTTCAACATCTTAACTATCAGCCATTGAAAAGTTGAATGAGGTATATAAATAGCTTTCTGAGTATACCTATCTCTCAGGGTGACTGGCTATCCCTATTGCAAACACTTGCTCAGGCACATCTGCTTTTACAACAACCACAATATGCTTAACATTCCTTAGTTATAGTTTCTGGGAGAAAGCTCATAATCTTGAATGATCAATAGCTGAACAAGGCCAGTTTACTCAACCCACCAGTGATGAAGAATTGTGGTTTCATGCTACCAATTTCACTCAAAACACTTGGGTCAATCTATGATAATTTTCAAGCACTTCCTAATTGTCTTTCACACTGGTATTGTCTTCCTAGAATATTATCAGGAAATCACCTCTTTCACAAATTTTGACCTTGAGATTCAAAACCATACCCTAGTTGGAATGCTAATATTCTAACCACACATCTATATGTCGGGAGTAGCAGTGTTTGTTTAACAACATATCAACTATCATTTGATGCCAAAATTTTATTTTTGGGGGAGCTTTGGTAATTATTTGTTTTTTTTACTATTAAAATCTATTGCTGTAATTTTTTTTTTTTTACTATTAAACATCTATTGCTGGTATTTTTACTATAAAAATGTATTTTTATACCTCCATAGTGTTTTGACCCCAGTTTGGACCCTAACAGGTGCTACCACCATGGGTCAGGGTGAACCTAAGAACAACAGCAACTGAGAGGTAGTTCCATATTCCTCAAAACCTCCAGATCAGAGGCCTTGCTGCCAGATGTAGCTGTCATACGCAGAATGGAAGTAGCATTGTCATTATCAAGATAATGACAGCTTTTGATAAGAACTGCAACACCTTTTATTTTACAGCTGTTTGTAATTTATTATCTACAAAATTTCTGTTTGTATTTATTATCTACAAATTGCCATGACTTTTTCTTGTTGCTTTCTGTTTTGGAATTCAGAGCTTTCCTTTTCTTAGAAGGATTGCCATCCAAGGCTAGAGAACACAGACTGCTATTTAACCCATAGCTGGAGAGACAAGATAGAGTCATGTCTTTCTCAAGGGTATCAGTGCAAAAGTAAACAGGATAGGCTGGAACTTGAACCTTGCTTGTCAATCCCATTTTCTGATCTGATAACTGTTACATGATATGCATTTGAAAATTTATTCTAAAGCCCCATTTCTTACAAGATTCATCATTATCATCGGTTCCATGACTAGGCATGGTCATAGGGTCACTGCACAGCTATGAATTTGACAAGTACTCTTCATATGTCCTAGTCAGATGTCAAAGTGAGTCTCTGTGAATACTCTTCCAGTTCAATCAATTACATTGGAGATATCTTAATTTTAAGTGCTACGAACATGAACAATGATTTAAAAACCAATAGAAGCAAAAAAGGCCACCAAATTCTAACAAAAAGTCTTTCCAATGATCTTAAAATAATTAGCTGCATTTATTTTAAGATCCTCAACCCTAAACAAACTTACTATTTTACTGCCTACAATATTAACCTAAAACATTACCATTATACATTCTTACTGCTCAAAGTAGAGTCCAGTAGTGTTATAAAAACCTCAGAGAATTCCAGTAAGATATCTTTAATCATTTTTAAGATACAAGGGTTCAGAACTTAACCTGAGAATTGGACACCCAGTATAGAAAATGAAATTGACCTTCATACTCATGAACTATAACTCCTTTGTTTAATTTAAATCACTATTTTTTTTTTCAAACCTTGAGCCCTTTTTATTCACTAAGAAAAAGTAATAATTATTTATACCTGTTGGTTTGAGATTGTGTGTGTATATATATATATATATATATATATATATATATATATATATATATATATAGCACTGCCACAAATTTGAGTAATTTGATTACTGTTTATGAGCAGTCTTCTTTGTAAGCCAGTGTAGTGTGCCAAAAATGTGCAAGAGAATTTGAAGGAGGTGGTGGAAATTAGATATTGTCATAAGTAATTTTTTGTCTTGATTAAATTCCCTAAATTATTGAATAACACTTTGTTTACATGAAATAATCACAGTTTGGCAACAGAAAAATTTTAAAAAAAGAAAAAAAAACAGAATAGAGGTTTGTAGGAGTCATCCCAATTCTGAAAAGGGACCAATAATTATCTTAAGTTCTAACCCGTCCCACTCAAGGATATAATTAATTTTATGGTAAAGCAGCTACCTACATTTTCGTACCCTTTTCTTTAGTGAAGCAATGAGTCAGCTGTAAAGAAGAGAGAGCTTAGAAAAGAGAATATAGGAGAAGAGCTATACAGAAAAGAGAGAGATATAGATAGAGAGAGAGAGAGAGAGAGAGAGAGAGAGAGAGAGAGAGAGAGAGAGAGAGAGAAAAGAAAAAGTACAACCTGAATGAAAGAAGACATGGAAATAAAAAACATGCTGGTTAAAGTTGAAAAAGGGAAGGAAAAAAGAAAAAGGGAAGGGGAAAAAAGAAAAAGGGAAGGGAAAAAAAGAAAAAGGGAAGGGAAAAAAAGAAAAAGGGAAGGGAAAAAAAGAAAAAGGGAAGGGAAAAAAGAGAAAAAGGGAAGAGAGAATGTAAAATGAAGGTGAAGAAGAAAAGTAGGTGACAAATAAAGATAAAGGAACATGAAAAAGAAAGCAACGCACAAAATATGGAACAAAAATGAAGAAAATGAAGGAGAAAATCGTAAAGATAATAAAAAGAAAAAACAAAAAGATGGAAAGAACATTTTCTGTCTAAAGCAAGCACATAATAGATAATTCAATAACTACTACTTTTTTTTTTTTTTGCATCCCCTCCCAAGATAATCAAAAGGTACAGAACAAATGGTTAACAGCTAAAATTGCTTCATTGGTTCAGATACAAATCTGGATTGGAACTGGGACACAAGATAATTCCATGACATGAGCAGTCAAGAGGGGAGGGAAGAGTAAAAATGGAAAGCATGAATCAGACGAGAGTAATCCGAATAGATCACCAGAGGCCAAATCAGACAACATCCGATATTTTAAGGTGATCCAAAATTGGAAAGAAAGGAGATGAAAAAAAAAAAAGCCAATTATTTGCTAATTCCTAGTTTCTTAATCCGAAATTGCAACTAACAGAGCAATTCTAAAGGAAAATAAGCCTTTGTTTTCTGAAAATCTGTGTGTGTGTATATATATATATATATATATATAATGAAGTAGACGAAGTCTGACAATTATTTTAATATATTTATTGTTTATACACCATTATATATATATATATATATATATATATATATATCTCATAAATGCAAAAATGTCTGTGTGTCATTTTTTCAATTAAAAGGACACAATTCTAACTTTTAAATACCTCATCATCATCTCGTGGAAGCAGAGATCCTTACTGGTCCAGGAAAGGAGGAAAGAGTTTTAATTCCAAGAACCTCTTAATTCCTCCAGATCTTCCTTTTCGGTTCAAAAGACTTCAGTTTCCAGTGAGAGTGAGCTATGCAATGTCAATCAATAAGTCCCAAGGACAATCATTGAAAGCAACTGGAGTTCATCTGATGGGACCTTGCTTTTCTCATGGCCAGTTCTATGTTGGTTGCTTAAGGTTTGGGAATGGAAACAAACTATTTGTACTGACTCCAAATGGGAAAACCAAAAATTATCATGCAGCTTTGAAATAAATTCCAAATAGACAAATTATATCATTGTTTTGATGAAATCTGTTGTTTGAAAAATATTGTTAAATTTTAGTAAAATTTCATATGTACTCAATGCATGAAGTGTCATTGTTGGGCCAAAGGCCTAATCAAAGCTCTATATATATATATATATATATATATATATATATATATATATATATATATATATATATAGGCAGCTTATCTTCATTCAAGCATGCTTGGTTGAATAATCTAAACATATTTCTATATATTTTTATTTTAGTCCTTTCAAATTTACAGATCAATTTCTTAGTGCTTTTACAAAACTGAGTAAGAAAGACACCATAGTTTTGGTTATTTCTTTTATTTTTCCAAGTACTTTCAAGTGGTTCATGGATTTGAGGAAGGGCAAGATGATCTTCAGGTATGAGCTGCTAAGACAAAAAAATTGGTGTAATTGATAGTTGTGAATTTTTTTTTGTAAATAAACATGCACCCCTCCCCCATTATATTCAATTTACATTAAGGATATGTAAGGTAAGTAACCTAGTTTCAATTTTTATTATCAATATTTTAAAAATTCTTAACATGCAATTTTTTAAAAAAAGTTAACACACATTTTATATATATATTATTAGAGTCTGTAAAAGTAGGTATTCAGTATTATATCAGTATTACTGGGGGTAGTTGGAAATCTATGGCCATAGTGAAGGTGGTCTATCTTTAAGAAAAACTCTAATGAAGCCAAGAGTAAAGCGTTTAAATCAAATGCCATTGAAATGCAGTAAAGTGTAGATGGCATTACATGTTAAAACTATGTATTCAGTTTTTACATCACCTTTGGAGAAGAATACGCATGTCAGTGAACATGGTCCAGGAAAACTATCAGTAAATCTAACACTGCTACTTGCTACAAGAATGGCAAACCGAAGATGAGTATTAAGCGACTAAAAGACAAATATCCTGCCCATTCAACCAAATTATCAGTATTATAATAATGGTTCCCAGATTCATTTAATACTTGAATTCATCAAAAATAATTTTTCATATTTATTTTCAAAGATTTTATTATAATTATTATTTATTA